AAGTCACGTGACTCGTTAGCGCCCACCGCCCGGGGGCAACAAGTCACATGACTCGTTAGCATCCACCACCCAGGGACAACAAGTCACGTGACTCGTTAGCGCCCATCCACCACCCGGAGGCAACAAGTGGGCAATAGTGTTTTGGACCTTTGCGTGTTCTCAAACTAACGCCGGAACCTTCCGGTAGATTTTAGTCTCAACCCTCAGAACGTGTTCTTTGAACCTTCTTCTACAACTGGTTAGCTTCTACCTCAATTCAAGATGGCTGCCACAGTCAAGCAACGCTAAAAACCAAAGAAATGGCCGAAGCTCGGTCAGCTTCACAGACGTTTAGCTACATTTTGTTGTGTTAGCAAAATATGTTGCGAGCCTTTGGCCATATTTTAATGGACGTGTTTCCCTTTAAAGCAGGGCGGTTCAACTGGCGGCCCGGGGGCCGGATCAGGCCCACGGCTGAGCTCAGTTCGGCCCCAGGGGGATCATTTTAAAATAAAACTAGATTTTAAACCGTAAAACAACTTAGTTGAAAACAGCTGGATGTCCGTCCCCTGAGCGTTTAGCTGAATGTCAAGATGGCCGCCACGGAACGATTTAGCTCCTGGTCCATCGTTTCTGTCGGTACCAGAGAACTGGGGCAGACCGGCTGGTGTTCTGCGTCCGTTCAGCTGATTCAGCATTTCCTCCTCCTGACGTCGTCGGCTTGTTGTGGAAATCAACAGCCGAAGGAGAAATTAAGTTTTGAACAACGGCTGAAAGTTCCTCAAACGTTTAAACTTCCTGCTCCGCACTTCTGCTCGACTGACCTTTTTGTCCCTGCTGACTTCCCGTATTTTAAAGGTCATTTTTCCTCCGGCCTTCCTCGCACCCATAAACTCTCATTCTGCTCGTGAAACACGGACCGTTGGTTCTGACGGGTCAGGCCCGCTTCCTGTGGCTCCAGGGTTACTGGAGACCCCCCAACAATCAAAGCAGAGACGACGCTCTGAGGACCCGGTTCTGTCCTCACTGGACCCCTCTGTTGGTCCTTTAGCAACAAAACTACAATAATAATATTAACTCCAGTTTCCGATGGACAGTGAACGCAGCATGAGCTCAAGTTGAAGGTTGAGCTGGATCAGAACCGTTCACGGAACCAAATCCTGTTTTTCTGAGTTTCTGATTCAAAACAAATTAAAAACTCAAAACTCCAAAGACTGGTCCCAACGTGTTCGTTTGACCCCCTGATCCAGGAGGAACTTCTCAGATTAAACGCTGATCAGGCTGGAGGTCAGAGGAAGGAATCATCTGCTCGTGTTTCTGCTCACCTGTGTGTGTTTTACTACTTCCTGTTCAGCGCAGAACTTCCTCAAAGCTCCAGCTGATCTCTGACTTCACAACGAGGCCACCTGAAGGACCCACAATAATCCAGCAGGTTTCTGGACCTTCTCCTCTCAGTTCAGATGTTTTTAGATCAAGTCTTCTGTAAAGATGGAAACAGGTTCAGTCTGTCTAAACTGGAGGAACGATTTCAGAATAAACTTCCTGAATGAATTTCAGAATAAAGTTCCTGAATAAAGGATTTAATCTCCGTCAACTCCAGTTCATAATCTGATCGTCAGATTAGAAGAATCTGTAGAAATCTGAGCTCAGAGGATGAGGCCCTCAGGGGCCCCTGCATTAAAATCAGGTCTGGTTCTGGTTCTGTTCACACACAGTTCATCCATAGATGCTGATTAAAGCTCTATCAGACAAAGAAGAAGCCAGATGTGAAGACCATCCAGAACATCCGCCGTCTTCTCTGGACCAGAGTGCATTTCAAATGGACTGAGGAGAAGTCCAGAACTGTTCTGAGGTCAAACGGGTCCAAATCTGAGGTTCTGCTTTGAAACCACAAACGTCCTCTATACTAAAGAGGAGAGGAACCATCCAGCCTGGTATCAGTCTGCCTCTCTGATGGTATGGGGATGCATTAGTGCCTTTGGCAAGACTCCACCAATGCAAAAATATCTGCAGGTTTTAGAAGAACATCTGAGAAGGTCCAGAACTGCTGGACAGCTAAAGTCCTCCATCAGACCAGAATGTCCCTCCAGAACCTCCAACAACTGGTCTCCTCAGGTCCTGGATGTTTCCAGACTGTTGGAGGTTCTGGAGGCCCTGAGGAGACCGGCTGCTGGAGGTGTTGGGAGCCTCCTCAGAAGAAACATGGACGTGTTTTTTCCGTCAGATTCTAAATCATCAACTTTCCTCCCAAACAGAACTTCTTTAGTTTTAGTTTTTCTTGGTTTCAGTTCTTCGTCGGTTCCTCTGATGCAAAAACGAGGAGTCGTCGTTCAGTCGGTTGATTCTGGGTCTGATTTCTGCACGGGGGAAACTCAACCGCACATGAACTGGGTCACACCACGCCCGCAGGTCGGGCCGCGTCTTTTCTGCAAACTTCCAGACAAGTTTTCGAGTTTTCACAACAAACCTGTCAAACCTTCCGTCTCCCAGTAAACCACAACTGGGACGCTGCCGTGAGAACGCGTCGCGCTCTTCACCGGCAGAAACAAACAACAGAACGTCAGAGAATCATTTAAATATCTAACGTCAACGTTTGTGCTGTTCCTCCACCGACTCAGTGAAACTGAGAGAAGGTGCAAGTGAAACGTCGTTTTGTCCTAAACTAAATTAATGAAATTAATGAAATTAACTTAATTAATTAAATTAATTAAGTTGTGCACGTCAGCGTCTCGTGTTTTTCTTCTTTCACGTGTGAAGCGTTCCAGCTGGACCACATTTATCAACACCAGACTTCTGCTTCACTCACTGACGTCCTTTTTACGAACAAGTGGAGGAAGTTTCCACAGGAAGTAGAAGAATTAACGCTGAAAGTCCTGCACTGGTTTTACCTGATGACCAATAAAACCAGCACCTCTTCCAACCTGGTTCACATATTAATTCTGAACAGTCTGCAGCGTCAGAGCAGCTGAGCTATTTGAGTTTAACGTGGAGTATAGATGATTGAGCTGAAACCCGGGGGGGTCGTCCAGTTGGTGCATTTGGGTTTTTATCTGGTTTTCATTAATGAAAGAAGCCATGACAGTTGGTTTGTGATAAATATAAAAATCGGGGTTCTGAGGCGCTCCAGCAGGAAAAATATGCAGAACCAGAAGCACCTGCAGATGCTGAACCTCAGCCATGGCGTCATTCAGATGGACTGTGATCCGGATCACCACCAAAATTTATTCAAACGTTTTTGCTGACAGCTTCAACATTTCCTGAAAATTTCATCCACATCTGTTGGTCAGTTTTTACATCATCTTGGTTACAGACAAACAAATCAATGGACACAACCCAAAACAACTTCCTTACTGAAGGTAAAGGGTCACATGTGACCTTGACCTTTGACATTGTGACCTTGATATCACTAGGGATCATCAGTGATCCATGATGTGTCCAGATGTGCAGTTTGACATTTCAATGTTATGTCATTGCAGAGTCAGAGCTTGAGATCATCTTTGACCTTTGACCTTGACCTAATTTCCTTGGTCGAGGGGATCATGACAAACCCATGAGTTTTTTCATAAGTCATCAGATGTTAAATATGTGTGGGACCTTTGGTATGTTTAAAAAAGTTATAGACTGAGCTCTGCTGAAGAAAAGCACGCTTTTTTTTAAACACCACTGCATTTTACAAAGTTCAGTCATCAGTAACACAAACCAACAATTGCTCAGGGAATTCTCTTGCAGTGAGGGTTGAATCATTTTCACAAACGTAGTAACATCGTCATCAATTCAGACAATAATTTTTAAGCAATTGTCGCTTTATGATGGCGTGTTCAATTTGTCTCCTTTATCCCGGACGAGCCCCCAAGATTTCAGCTTCCCTAATATCAGGTATTTTTTCTTTGGTTGTGGCTGTGGCTGAGTGGTTAGAGCAGCCATCCTCCAATGCGAGAGTTGGGGGTTCGAATCCACCAGCAGTCACATGTTGAAGTGTCCCTGGGCAAGACACTGAACCCCTCATAGCCTCTGATGTGTGTCCCATCAGTGTATGAATGTGATCTAAAGCTTTGATTAGTCTCTTTAGAATGATTTGTTCAATTAGCTTTGTAGAGATCTAGTAGAGTGCTTTATGAATGGGTAAATGAGGCACAGATTGTTGTGTAAAGTGCTTTGAGTATTTTGAAATAAGATAGAAAGGCACTATATAAGTACAGTCCATTTACCATTTACCATTTATCATCTGAAAGAACTGGATAAGTCGGCCACTAGTCTTTCAACTGATACAAGATACTCAATCACATAACTCAGGTCTTGTTGTTTCTTCTCTGACTATATCTGTTTCCAGACTGATTTTCACATTTTTATTGCTCAAGGTACTAGAAAATGAGTCCTGTGTTCTTTAGCTAATTTTTCATAGATTCACCGAGCAGTAGGAGCACATACAGCCAAGCAGACCGATGCTCTAACATCTAGATTACAACCCTGTTTTTAAGATTTTAATGCAGAACTGCACATTTTGATTATTTCTTTATGCTCTTTGTTACAGTGAAGGAAGATGAATGTTTCACTGAAGAACCAGTCTCAGAATGAGTCGTACTACGATATGGACCCTGATTTTAATTTCACTGACTATGACCCTGATGGACTGGTATCGCCTTGTACTTTTAGTAACAACAACAGTGTGAATCATGTGATTGGCCCTTACATTCACTCCATCATCTGCATCCTGGGGTTTGTGGGAAATAGCTTGGTAATTATCACCTATGCACTCTACAAGAGGACCAAATCCATGACTGATGTCTACCTGCTCAACGTTGCCATCGCTGACCTGCTGTTTGTCCTCGCTCTGCCTTTCATTGTCTACAATGAGCTATACTCGTGGCCGATGGGACAGGTGGCCTGTAAGCTTCTGCGAGGCTCTTACAGCGTAAACATGTACAGTGGCATGTTAATGCTCGCCTGCATCAGCACCGACCGCTACATCGCCATCGTCCAAGCTCGCCGCAGCGTCAGGTTGCGGTCATTGTCATACAGCCACCTCATCTGCACCTCCATTTGGGTTTTCGCCATAGTGCTGTCCATTCCCACCTTCATCTTCTATGACTGGTACCAGCCGTCACACAGTGAGGTCTTCAAGGTCGACCTAGAAGAAGTGAAGTCAGAACCTCCTGAGTACGTCTGTGAGATGAGATTTGGGAACAGTGACACAGCCAAGAAAATTAAAGTGGCCCTCCCCAGCCTTCAGCTGGCTGTCGGCTTCTTCCTGCCGCTGAGCATCATGATGTTCTGCTACACTGCAGTCATTGTCACTCTGATGAAAGCCCAAACCTTCCAAAGACACAAAGCTGTTAAGGTGGTGCTGGTTGTGGTGCTGGTGTTCATTGCCTGCCATCTTCCTTACAACCTCTTTCTGCTGTACGACACTGTCACCTTGTTCCACTATAACAGCTGTGGTGTAGTGGACGCTGTGCAGACATCGCTGACAGTGATGCAGACCCTTGCCTACCTGCACTGCTGCTTGAACCCGGTGCTGTACGCCTTTGTTGGGGTGAAGTTCAGGAACCACTTCTGGAGGATCTTTGGGGACCTGTGGTGCGTGAGCAAGAAGTACATCACACCACGCCGCTTCTCCAGGGTGACCTCTGACACCTACATGTCCACATTCCGCCGCTCAGTGGACGCCTCCAGTGATAACGGCACGTCTTTCACCATGTGAACATGTCACGATCTGTGGAATGAACTTCAGACCTGCGGGGCTCTGAAATCCAAACCTGACTCATGTCTGTAGATAATTTTGCAATTTTGCAGTTTTCAGTCACACGTTTTGTGAATGTCAGGCTTATCTATTATTTAGAAGAAATGGAAAGAGAAAAGAACACATACTTCATTAAACTGGCATAATACTGTGGACAATAATTTCCTTGTTTTACACATTTCTATATTATATCCAGCTGGAAGATGTTTGAAGGTATGAAAGTTTAACTAATTAGGTCATGGAGAACATGCTTGTTCATTGATGTCATCAAGACGACTGATTCTGCCAAGATGGAGGGCATTTTGTCATTATTTCATACAGCTATGAGTATTAACACAGCACTCGTACAAAGAGGGTCATGTTGGTGTTCTTTTTTAAGACAAAGGCCAGGATGAGACGATTGTAGGTGAGAGCAAGTTTCAAGGTTTAAGGTCAGATTGTGAGTCATCAGTCCTCTGTTCCATGCACCAAACCCTCCACACCTGATGTTTCAATCCATGTTAAGGACACTTCAGGGTGGAGGATGCCAGGGACATACAGAGGTACCTTTGTAAAGTCGGATTTAGGCAGCAGAGCAACCTGCTTTCAAAAAGCAATTTGATGGACGGGATACTGAGAGACAAGTTACCAAGGTATCAGGTCTCTCTTGTAAATGAGTCCTCGAGGCTCAATGGGATTTACCTGTCTAAATAAAGAATGAAAGGTGAGGGGTGGATTTGTCTTGCAGCCAGTGGTGTTTCTGGGAGTTCGACTGATGTGTTGATAAGGCTTGGACTGCCTAGTTCTGGACGTACTGGAGCCTGTCCAGGGCTTTGGTGGAAATCTCGAACTAGACCCTGTTGCAGTAATCCAGACAAACTCTCAGCTAGAGTCCGTTAGAGATGGTGGGAGTCTTGTGATGTTCCTTAGGTTGAGTAAAAGCTGCTTTGGTGAAAGATCTGAATGAAGCTAAGAGTCCAGAATGACACTCAGGTTCCAAACATTTTGGTCGGTTGTTGATGTTCAGACCAGTTTTTTTAAGTAAGGCCTCAGGACCACAGCTCAGAGCTCTGTTTTTGGTACCATTGAGTTTGGGGAAGTTTGTTTACATTTAAATCTTGGTTTAATTAAAAAAAGATGACAGATGTGGGGGAGCTGAGTGCAAGGTTTGGTCCAGAGATACAATCGTGTATCGTCAGCGTAGAAATGTACGCAAACCACGGCAAGTATGAGACAACTATTTTAACTATTTTAAGTGAAAATATTCTACATTTAACAATAATCAACATGAGGGATCAACACAGATCACCTGATTCTTTGACTTCAGACACATGGACTCAAAAAAAAAAAAAAAGACCTCCATCAGGATTCAACCCAAACCTGCGCAGAAATCCCGGACAAAAGTATAATTTTAAGCGATATAAAGAAATTAAAGCCTATCCATCATTTATACACATATATGTCTCTCAAAATTTGTTTTATTATGCTTTAGCCTTTGGGATTAATAAAGTATTTTTGATTTGAATTATGAAGCTCATGTTGTAAGTCACAGGACAACATGACCAGGAAGTGGATCAAACCTTCAAAGAGCCAAAAAAGTAGCGAGGACCGGGTGGAGAAAGACGTCTGAGTCTCCTCTGTTTTCTTTGTTCAACTTTTTATTTTTCATTTCATTTTAAAACGCTACTTTTGACTTTGTGTTAAGGAACCCGCCCAAAGAACTGATAAAAAAAAAAAACATCCTGTCCCAATGATGACGTGCAGTTTCTGTTCTCGAACCCAAACTGTCACTAAATCTCTCCACAGCAACAAGTTTCAGACAGATCAGCACAAATGATTCAGACTTTGAAGGATTTTATTAATATTTTTCTAAAAGTTTTTCTATTGAAACTGGTAAATATCCAGTTTGCATCTCTGAACACAAAGCACATTTCTCTCTTTTGATCTCTGATGCCCCACCTGCTTATTTTATCATTTTATTTTATTTTTTTATGCTCACGGGTGATTTTCAGGCTTAAATTTAGATTTTTTTGTTTCTAGTTTGAGGTTTTTAGTCCACCTGTTAAAGACTTTAAGGTGTACAACATTTAGTCGTCTCCAAGCTTTCCTGTAAAATACTGTCACTTATTTTAACTTCTCAAAACTGAATCTGCTTTTTAAACATAATCTCTGAGATAAAATCCCAAATTTATACTTTTGATGTATTTTATGGAATAAAAAAACATTTTCTCTATTCTGTGTTTTCTCTCTAATTTCACGAAAATATGCAGTATTTTTGGTAAGTATAAGTAAAGTTTTATTGTACATGTAACAATATTATGTTGAAAAGCATCCATATTGGACATCACCAATATGTTGACTATTAGTCTAAAATATTAATAAAGAATAATTTTGCTGACACAAGCTTATAATATTTGTTTCATTCGTAAAACCATGTGAGGTCATCGTTATAGTTTACATAACAAAGTTTGATTGATTACTACATTATTGTTTTTACATCACTTTAAATGTCCAAGATGGCCACAATGTTAAATATTTTGTAAAAACCATTAGAAACACAAACTAAATCATGTTTTGACGCCAACATCAGGCCCATCTCACCATTATAAGGTCATTTTCATTGTTTCTCATTTTATGGTGCCCAGTTTGGTGATCAAGATGAAAGTCGTTGGGCACCAGTCAATCCCTAAGAGCATACTGGTTTAACATTCTGTCTCTAGATCTTCTAGAACTCAAGTTATGTTCAGTACAGGTTTTATTGGCGGCCACACTGTAAAATATCTGCAGTTCACTCCAGAGGATTTTACCAACATCAGTCCCTCGATCACATCTGTGCCAAGTGGCACGCTTCTTCTCAAACGTGCACAGTTCGGCTCAAAGTGCTCTTTGCCCTGATGAGGGCTTTAGTCCTCGTTTGTGAGGTTGGGGTAAGGATCCTCACTGCAGTTCATGTTGTAGGAGCTTTTAAACTTCTGAACTTAGGTCAAGACATCCATTAACCCCAACCAGCATCTTCTCCAAATAACGTGCATTCATTCAACCTTCATTTCTACAGGTTCACTTTCAGTTTTTTCACTGTCAATTTTAAATGGGACTTCAATAATTTTCTTTCTATTACAAAATATCATGTAGTTTGTTTTTTCCCAATTTAATGATAATTTATTAAGTTGGAACCAAGTTTGTATTTTGACAAATTCTGCTTGTTTCATCTAAACATCCGTTCAATATCTTCACCCGAACAAAAAAAAAGTATCATCTGTAAATAACACACTTCAAAGGCCCTGACACATCAACCAGATCATTCACATACAAAATAAACAACTTTGGTCCCAACACAGAGCCTTGAGGAACTCCACATCCATTGTACAAACTGTCTCCTCTTATTCAAATAACTGGATACTCACTGTAGTGCTAAAGCTTATTTATTCAGTTGTTCAAGGAGAATGTGTGGTCAGTTGTGTCCAAGGCCTTTTTTAAATCAACAAAAACACAGAACTGTTTTTGATCAACAGCAGTTGTCTCTTCTATTAGTTCCATGAGAGACATTGATGTTGAATTATTTGCTCCAAATACTGTTACTCTGTTTATTTATAAATCGATCTAATCTGGTTATAAACAGTTTTTTAATATTATAGAAAATTGTGACAACAAGGATATTGGTCTGTAATTTCTCAGCATTAAAGAGGAACTATATTTGCTATTTTCATATTTTCTGGAAATTTTCCTGTTGAAAATGATAAATTACATAAATATGTAAATGGTTCGATAACATGATTATATCCTTTACAAACATCATGTCCATGTCCATCCAGACTTTTGATATTTAATCTGGAATATTTTTACAATACAGTGTCACGGTGTCTTCAGTCTGAGGAGCTGCAACAAACTCAGTCTTATAAAAAGTTCTTCCTCATGGTGGATCAAACACTTAGATCATTATCTGTAAACACAGTTCATCCACAGATGCTGCTTAAAGCTCTATCAGACAAAGAAGAAGCCAGATGTGAACACCATCCAGAACCTCTGCCGTCTTCTCTGGACCAGAACTCATTTCACATGGACTGAGGAAGTCCAGAACCGTTTCAGAATGGATCCAAATCTGAGGTTCTGGTTTGAAACCACAGACCCCACATCCTCTGTATTAAAGAGGAGCGGGACCATCCAGCCTGGGATCAGCTCCCGGGTCAAAGCCTGCCTCTCTGATGGTATGGGGGTGCATTAGAGCCTATGGCAGCTTACACATCTGGAAAGACTCCATCAGTGCAGGATTAGAGGTTTTAAAACATCTGCTTCCATCCAGGACTGTAGAACAGCTGGAGTCCTCCATCAGACCAGAACGGGACAAGATTCCCTCCAGAACCTGCAACTGGTCTCTGGTCTGACATCAGGTTCTAAATTACCGTTCTTTCCTCTAAAAACGGTAGTTTCTTAATTTAAAATCTGTTTATGAAATATGAAAATTAATGTTTTTGTTTACATTTTATTAAACTGATGAACTTTTTCAGAACCTCAGCTGTAAACCTGCCCCCGTGCTGAGGTCAGCGGGTCTGGTTCTGCAGGTGTGACCCGTGGACCACATGCGGTCCACGTTCTGGCCCCTCCCTGCAGTAGCCGGTGTTGGAGCAGAAGCAGTAAACCTGCAGCTGTTCACCGTCAGAACCTTTTATTAAAGTCCATCCATGAAGAAACTCTGAGCGGACGGAGAACTTTGTTCTTGGGTTCAATGTTTCCTCAGCTTCTGCGTTCAAACCTCTCAGGCTCTTGTTTCCCCAAAACCTCTTCATGAGACCTGGTCCCTTTTTATTTTTACAATGTTTGATTCTAAAGTTGTTGTTTTTTAAGATGATCTTTTCTCAGCGATGTTTCTCTTCTAATATTTGACCTTTCGTAGGAAATCCAGATGTTTTATTGACTTTGTTTTTTACTGTACAGTTTTCTATCTGTGCGTGTGGAGCAGCGGAGATGTGTCAATAAAGATTCAA